ATTCTCACCTATCTACTACCTCCCTCTTTCCCTCCCTGTATTTTCATCTATCTACTATCCCCTTTCTCACCTGTCTACAAAATCTCCCTTTCTGTCCCTGTATTCTCACCTGTCCACTAGCTCCCACTTTCTCTCTATGTATTCTCACCTGTCTACTACCTCCCCCTTTCTCTCTCTGGCCACCATCTCTAGCAGTGTCTGTCGCAGATGATCTCGAATCACTGGACAGCGTACCACTTGGTCACGGAAGATTATTAACCCAAGATTGTAGACATTGTCAACTCCATTTTGTTGCACATAAACTCTGTCCTGTAAGGTATTATAATTTTCATGACCAATGTAAGAAAAACCACAGTGCTGCTTTTGATTTAAGAGTCAAATTAGTTATAACTATTTTTTTTACCAGACATGCTTTTTCCCATAAATCAATATTAAATTATTCAAAATTATTTTGTTCAATTTTCATAGCAGAATAGGTATATTAAAACTGATAGTAGGCGATCTTTTTAATGCAATCAAAAAGTGATTTTTGACACCATAAACATGGGGATATCTCTGATCATAACCATAGAGGTCTGGTGGTCATTACAAACTTACCATATACATGAGGATATCTCTGATCATAACCATAGAGGTCTGGTGGTCATTCCAAGCACTGTTTAGAGTCTGAAGGAAATTGTTATTCAGCGCCTGTTCTACATCACCTCTCACCTAAATAATATCAAACAAAAAACTGATTTCTGAGCAAACCAATAAAAGATTCTGAACTTTTTTCACAACATAATTCTGGATCTGAACTAGGTTTACCTAAAATATCACAACTCCGATGATTCTTCTCAAACTGTGAATTCATATACAGCTACAGAGTATTTTGCCCCCCCTCCCCATCAGCAAAAACAAACATTATTTGATTAACTGTGCAACAATGTACAACTTGCAAAGTATGTTTCACTAGTAACATGTGTTCATTCTACTCAAATTGTCAAACTAAGATTCCTACCTTATTTACTAAATGTTCAGACACAACTTCTCTTAAGCCAGTGTACAATTTTTCCCCATGTTTGTGTAGCACCATGGTATATGCATTGCGGTATAACTCCTCAAAGCTAAGTCCGCTATTGTTCTTTTTCTGTATCTCTTGAATTGCATTTTTCAACAATGCCCAAATATTGTTGACATATTTTTCATCCATGGTCATCTGAAAGTGTCAGAATGCACTTGGAACTATACAACAACAAATCAATATCTGAGTATTGGCATGTTTCTTTTATCAAAATGTGTAACTGAATGTTGATTAATCAGTCTTTAACATAATTAAAAACACAGATCTAAGTACTGCTCATTTGGACTGGATGCCCTTCAGACTCTCTGAGACGAAACAAATGAATACGTTCATTACAGAAAGGCAATTCAGTACTGAATGCACTGCCTAAAATAGTAACATATATCACAACTTTACTCTGGCCACATACAGAACAAGCTGATCCATGGACTAACATATCCGCAGATCAAATAGGCCAACTGACTTGAAAGTTTGCTGCATATCCCATGACAGACACTGTATGGATACCCTACAGGGATTACACTGCAAGCTTACAAGTGGGTGGGTTTAAATTTGATCTATGGACCTGTTAGTCCAAGGATCAACTTTGGTTTAATTGCAGCCTCAGAGACTGCTTTCAGACACCAACTGGGTTATAAGCAATTAGCATGCATAAAAGGCAGCATAAATATTTCACTCAAACTTAATGAACATATAAATAATGTCTTATATAATCAAACCATGTTAACATTTCAAAAACGATGAATCACTGGCTCAACACTACAAATGGGAATGGGTAAATACACGGCGTCAGCAGCCAAAATAAATGACAGGCGTTCAGTACCAGAGAATCCCGACTAACTCAACAAACTGCCAATAATCAATCAGTTACACTTAAACTACTAACCGGGAAAGCCCGAATGCGCATCTTTGTGTCTTTTCCCTTCTTGGGTGGCATCGACATCTTGAGGTACGTTTATATTCAATCCCTAAAAAATTTGAGTCGATTTTGTCCGACTCGGAGAGGATAACGTTTGGCCACCCCGCACGATTTCCCTAGGGTTCCACGTGAGATTTTGTCTATAATCAAATCTCATGCAAGAAGCAGATATGAACGCTAAGCAATGATCTCCAAAGGATGACCCGATCCTCTTCAGAGTAACAAAATGGTTAAGTTATTTAGTCGTATTTCTCCTCATCTTCTTCTTTCGTCTTACACCGTGTCACATACCTTCTCCCTTGTGCTTGCGCGAAATATCGAGTTTCAAATATCAAATAGTATGACGAAGTCAAACATAATAGAGAGTCAGAATATTCATTGCATAAAGTTGAAAATGAATAGAAGCATTTTATAGTCTCGGAATTTGTAACATTAAAAAAAATCAATATAGTTCTCTGCTGCGTAGTAATTGCTTAAAGGTAGCCATATTCCCAGAATGCAAATGGTGAGTCGTGACGTCATCCGGAATTCCCATATGTTCTCAACTGTCACAATGCCTCACTTCTGCGTCAAGACCTGCAGCATAGGTCTAAGGGAAATAGTTTCTAGTTCGTCTCCCGTGCTTTGTCGTAAAAAAGAGGAAAACAAGTTTATTTCTTTAAATATTTTATACTTTTCGATGTAGTAAACGAATGTGATAATTTTGTCGTTTTGTGGTCAGGGTGGTTTGTTTCTGTTCAAAACATCTGGGTTGATGGCAGGGAAAATTAAAGGTAAGTAGTACGTACACGCCTTGAGTCTGAAAATGCCCAATATGCTCATTTTTCCATTCATAGGTTGTTGTAAAAACGATTAAACCCCTTTAGTAATTTTTTTCTGGAACATACCTTATCTCCAATGGAACTTGGTGAAGATGGTGACTGGTTATATTGACTGGTCAATCATTTAAACGCGTTAACTATATAAATCAACCTTCATAATTTTAATAAATGTACAAGTCCAAGTGCAGCGAAGGATAGATGATTCGCTCTTACGGGAGGGAGAAATAAGTTATCTGCTCCGGTATGGAAATGGACATGAAAAATAACTTCTTAGCTGCCGTCAGCCAAACCCTTTTTTCTATGAATTGTTTGAACCTTTTTAATATATATATATACCTTGATTATTTTAATTAAAATTGAGAAGTTTTGAAATCTGCAACAAACTTTTAATTTCATGTTTTGTTTACATCTATGGAAATCACTGTATCGTCTCTTCGCTTTACCTTTCCTTGAGCCCACGGTTATTTATTATAAATTTAAGAATAAATAATAAACCCAGGATCGTATTTTGAATTCTAATGTATGCTGTATTCTAATGTATAATTTGGGTCTGATTTTAATAGACTCCGACCTCTTAATTCAAATATTTATATCCTACATAATGGTGCCATGATACATTAAAAACAGGAGTCATCGCGTTATTTTCCCCAATCCTGAAACTACATGTAGGTGGCTCTTGCATTTCATGACATTGTTTTATAAAACGCAAGTTCTTTTCCACGAGTTGAAGTTGCCCTTTACGGAAATATTAACAATTATTTCGTGATAATATCATAAGGGACCGTATAATTAAAATGATATTATCTGATAGAACAATTCATGAGCTTTCCAAAACATTTTACTTTTTGAAAATCAAGCCAGCCGATCAAAAGTTATTGAATTTACAAGTATGCTAGTCGGCCACAAAATTTTGAAAAATCTTGTATGCAAGCGTATGCAACAGTGGAAGAGAATTTTCTGAACTTCGATACTTAAACTCTAAAACACGATTCAAACTTTACAAGCTAGCTGTGGTTGCTGTTTTCGGTTAAATCACCTTCTGTAACCCCCCAGCCGAACGGTTGGTTCATTTTCTGCATGAATATCAGCTTGCGAATCAGCTAGAGGGTAAATATAATTACAGCTTTACTAGGTGTGACAGACATTTAAGCCTGTAAAGTTGATAGCAATTTAGTGAGACTCTCCAGGGAGAAAGATCAATCCAAGTATCTGTGGGAATGGTCCCAAAAAGACATACTATCAAAAGGTTCATCATTGGACTTCGATTGATATATAAAACTGTCTTACCTCTGATATTAAAATCTACGAAGACTTGGATACTTTAAGAATTATATTAAAAATTCAAAAGTAGATTTCATGGATATACTTATTACGTTATGTAGTTTTTAGTTTTTTTACTAACACAATGTTTTTAATAAATTTATTTTTATTTAAAATTAACTTCATTATTATAATTGTTTTATTTATTTATTTTTACTTTTTAAAAACATTTATTATAGTACAATTTATTCTAACTCCTCTAAAAGGTCCATGTGGAAGACAGGTACGTACATTTAACATGTTTTACCCTTTTTAAATAAAATTTTTTATTATTATTATTATTATTATTAATGCAGTACTTTCCTCAATAAACACTTGGTCAAAAAGGATGTCCCACTTTTAATTTCATGTGTTTTTACAAACTTTTTTATTTTAGATACCATCTCTAACGTGACTTATGTTACAGAAAAAGCTAAAACACCAATGAAGATATTCGTATTTTATACCATTTATTTAAATTCAAAGTATGCACACCCTCAAATTTCGGAAATCTGACGTTTCACAGTGATTTTCACATGGGTAAAAATGACCATAACATTAAAAAGACTCCACCAAATGTCACAAAATTCAAACACAATTAGCGTCAGCATGTGCTTGTTAAAGGCCACCTGCGCGATGGCGTGTGTGTCGGCAACCTGGGGGGGTTGCAGGTGAACAACCACAACCTCCATAGGTTTTTTAAGAAAAGATTTTCATATTTATATCTTTATAAAGTATTAACATTTATCTTTCTTCCTGCCCATTAGAAGTCTCTTACATTATCTTCGTTCAGCGCGCAACCTGATAAATACGTCTGATAAATACGGCTAGAATTTCGAAGAGAGGTCACGATGGCGAGGCCTGCGTTGCTATGGACACGTCGTTGGAGAATAAAACCATGTTGCTCTGTGCGCAGCTGTGTCTTAGGTCTTTTAATGGTCGATATTCTTCTGGAAAAGTGAGATATTCTATGTAGACGAAGAGACAGCCTTAACGTCTAACAGTACATTTGAAACTTAGGATAATTGATGTTGGAAAGAAACAACATGTCATGTATGATAAAAGACTAGCTATTTAAATTTCCAACTGAGTTATTACCTTGTCCTTTTTCATCAATAATTGTAAAATTTAGTAATATCTTCAATTTGAAAAAAGGTAAACAGCTATAATAACAACTACGATGTGTATAAATATGTATACTTCTTCTTTTTGTCATCATCATCATCATCATCATCATTTCATATTTATTGCACACCCCAATGCAAAATAATAGATTCTATTCAGTCGAGAGCACTCACACATGGAACTCTGCAAATCTTTCTTCAAGGAAATAAAGAACGACAAGGACAAGCAAAGTTACCTCTTGTGCTCCATGCTCCAAAACTTACATAAAGCTAGGACATAACAGTCTAATTTCAATGTACCAAAAATCAGGACAGAACGTTTCAAAAACACCTTTATCCGTTTTCTTTATCTAATTTTTAGAGGTCTGTGTTTTACTTTGGAACTCATTTTGATTTTATTGTATACCCTTCATTTATCTGTAAAGTTTTAACCTTTTGTTTGCTATGTTTTTATAAACTTATTATTATTATTATTTCATTATTTTTTTCTAATTTTATTATTTGTTGATGTAATTGTGCGAAATGAGTGATGCTAGTTTCATTAGACCTTGATTTTTCATTTTGCGAGTAACAATGAAAAACAAATCAAGTTGTGAACCTCATACCTACTGCATTATCTTTATGACACGGAATGGTAACTAAGGTTGATAACGTAAAAGCACGCGTGATTGTTATTATAAAAAGAAATGTTGCTATAACAACGTCATACTTGAAGTTTCATATTAATATTTTGTTTAGCAGAAATCATTCAGTCGTAAGGTCATAGCTGTGGTGTAACAACTGTTACGGTATAACATACCAGAATTGTAGAAATTGTTGAAGTTTTCCATGTTGTCCCACTGATGGACCACTACAAACCGCGGGACCCATTGGTCACCACGAGAGTTAACCGGGGTAGGAGTGACCACCACGGTGGGAGTGCAGCCCACGTCCTCTAGACTCGGCTGCAGCGTCTCCATATACTGATGAAATTTTGCTGCGTCATGAATCTCTAGGTCGATGAAAAGGAACATCTTTTTCTCTGTAAAATGTTGAAACGGCCAATATGTAGTTTCTGTTTACAATCACAAGGAAAATATGTCAATACGCTCTTGAACAATTTTGTGTGATTTTTTAGTTCAGCAATGAAGACAATATTTACATGTTGTAAAAGTTGTAAATACCGGCTCTTACGAAAATAACTGTCCCCGGAACAACTACATAGGCCTACTTAGGCTTACTTAAGAGAACAAAAAGACATTCTATTACCACTGAAAATAGGTCACAGCAACCAAGCACCATTGCATAAATAGTGGCACAAACCTGAGGGCGGTTCCTTTGCAATCGGCAGTACTACTATTTCTGCACCTTCCAGCCAGTCAGGACTCTGCGCGATCGGGTCATTTATCAGCCATTTCTGGGCACGTGCGACGTCCGGAAACCATAGCACGGCTATCACCATGTCACGTTTCCACTTGCCTTCAATTTCATGGAGCTGAAATGAAGAGATTCCTCCTTCCCTGTTATAAATGTCAGAATTTATCTTTTTTCTTCTTGACCTAGGGACTTAAATTTTACGGTGGACAATTAAAGCAAGTGAAAGAAAGTATTGAGAACCTGAAATATATGGCGGTCCGGATCACAGCAGTGAATAGCAGCTTGAAATCAATGTTGATGTTTTTTAATTTTGGTAACAATTTATGAAACATATAGATCATTCACTGAGGTGCAAATCAACATGACAACTGATAGAATCCAAAACGGTGATTTTAAAGGTCCGTCTTCTTTTTTTTTTCATTTCTATAAAGCATATTATGCGATACTGCGACTGTAAGAACTGCTGATTTTGAGAGTGCTTTGTTATACCTCTCGTGATATACACGTGATTTCACCACCGCATTTCTGGAACATCAGCTTTCCCTCCTCGAGATCCTTTATAAAGTAATCCACGAGGGATGCTTTGTAGGAGATAAACATATATACTCCCCACGGTGTCTGGCCAATTTGGTTCTAAAGAAAGAAAAAAATACACGTAAAATATTCTCATTTTGCATTAAGGAAGGAAGCAAATCAATATTGTAAAACCATACAGCAAGCCTGCGTTCAAAGGGAACGTCTATGCATACGCTGTACGAGTATATAGCCATATATTAAGTATTTGGATTCTACTGTAAGATTGCACAGGGGAATAATTTCTTCTGTTGTGAAATATGGCATCAAGGCATCTAGCAATTTTTTAACAACAATGAATATTAGATAATAAAACCCATATGCCTCTGTAGCATGTAACATGCCTCATAGTTAACCCAGAAATGACTGGGCGTTTCTAGTACACATCACTCTGAAAAAATGATTGGATATACTAAAAAATCTCAGTCAAGATAACGACCTGCTTTGCGATTAGATCGACATTCATCTGCACTCTAATTTGAGCTTTCAGTGCGTTTTCAGCTGTCCTTTGGTAAGGCAGTTTAACAAGTAATCACTACTGACAGACCAATGTCAACTTGAAGTGATACAACATGACATGAAGGCAGCACGATTGTGTAGAGGTTGCACTATATCTGTTGCGTTGTAAATATTATGATATACCGGTAAGTCTTCAGCTTTTATTCACATTGTCGGAGACATCAAATAATTCACAGGCAATTTCCGTAACTTGACGTAATAACTTTTTACTGTAGGCTTAACTCCTCATAATACGTTAGGTAAAGTGTAAAGAGGCAGAGTAGGCTTGTTTACTATTCTGATTAAGAAGCTATTGATTAGGAAGTTCATGTAGCCATTGTCTTGGTTAGATACTATAGGGTGTAATATTCAACATATCATCAGAATGTACCTGAGCAAGCAACGAGTGAACATTAAATGATTGAAACTGGTTATCGTTGTCAGTGTTGGATTTCCTCATAGCGATTTACACGTAACTATTTTGACCACGAACCTGGTATGTAATATTAACGCGTTATCCGAACTAAAAGTTTCCAACGGTGTCCGTATAACGAGCCCATTTCTAAATTACATTCATATCTAAAATTTGCGCGGTTCCGGACAACATGTCAGTGAGGGTAAAGAGATTATCAAGGGATCTGTTGATTACTGGTTGATAAAGATGTGAAGCGGGGTCCACTCGTTTTTAATTTAGTCAGCTGTCTAAGCTCATTCCATGTAAATCGAAAGTGTTCGATTTTGTTATTTTATCCTCGTTCTCTTTATGGATCTGTCTCTGCAGTGACGGCTGCTAGGATGGTTTTGATGTGCGACCTTTTGCTGGTAAACCGTTCTGCTTGAATGTATATCCGGCCTACACAAATATCCCATCACGCATTGACAGAATTCGAAAGTATCGTCAATAAGATTGCTAATCATCGTGAAATTTCACCAAGAGGCCTCGCTGCCTGTGTGCATAATCGCATGATTTACCTGATACAATATACTTGGCAACACTTCTCAGTGCACTGGAACTTCAGGGAATTTCCAATAGGAATCACGATGAATATTCGAGTAATTTAAAACAGAAATTTAAAATTCGACGTACATTCGTTTAAACACACGTAGGTTTTGTCAGCATACAGCAATTAACTCTAGGAACCATTAAACGAGATAGTGTTTAGATTAGCTCAGGTGTCCGGGAGCGAGAACATCTTGTACTAAGTCTTCCTCTCCTCAATGGCTCTCTGACTCAGTGGGATATATGTTATAAAACGCACGTTTCATGTTTGCAAATATAGGAGGTCAATTAATGGCGCGAAATATCCCATGACGCTGTGATGAAGTTCAAAACGTTCTTACTGGTTGCTGCCTATTTCACTTTATCCATACATCCCAAAACTCTACCCGAAAGCGTTGTGTAAATGACGTAAACATATTAATTAATCATTTCCAGCCATTATCCACGATTTCGATTTTTCAAACCCCAATTCAATGACTTCAAAGTTGTAAACACTACATTTCATATAATAACAACGCCTTGCAGTTTGTATTGTATAGAGTTTTTTGGCCAGTGTCCGATAAGATATTCCATTTCAAAGTATATAATGTAAACATTATAAAATGTCATTTAATGCACGACCTAGTAAGATAAGCAAAGGAGATGTACTGTATTAGTAAAACAATCATGTACGTTAACAACATACCAATCTGAAATCAGATAAGCAATTTAGACAACCACTGATATATTCAAGCGACCCGGGAAATGTTTCAGGGGTGAACAAACAATATAAGCCTTATTCGTCTGTCCTAATTTATGGACCTTTATGTCTGAGTATGTCCATGTACGCATTGGAAGGACAGGGGAGGGGGCGGAAGTGTGAAGTTTGGCAAAGATGAGATCTAGCCTTAACATAATGTTTTTTTATTTTTTAGTTTGATGAGTTTCCATTATTTTCTCACGACCAGTAAAATATGCACTTGCTTTCCGCGCAAAACGAATATGTTGCGCAAAACGAATATGTTAATATTAATGCTACAGTCTGTTTCTATATTCTATTGCTATAATTCCCTAGGTAAGGATCGAATCCCGACATTGATTTGTGGTACTACTCCCCGTCTTGGGGAGATTGTTATTTGCTGTTTTGACCCACGACACGAGAGCGTGGGACTTCATACAAGGACTGCAAGGACTACACACAGAGCGGACGATGTCAGCAAGGTGAAACAGCAGCATCTAACACTTAAATAGCATAATTTTACCATCCGTTTTACCCCAGTAATCATCGCGAGAAACTTCATGTATGTAGTTAAATAACCAAAGCCTACTGTTAGGTTAAAAAATCAATAGTTACGATAAAAGGAAGCACTAAGCTTTTACATGGTTGATATACATTCAAGAGCGGAAATGACCGTACTAAATAGTAATGTACCGTGTGTGTGTGTGTGTGTGTGTGTGTGGAAAACTAGCTACCACCACTTACCGCTGCCATTATCTAACAGTATACGTGATGGATCAGTTGAACCTTATAACTAGTTCGATGTACGTGGATCAAATATGCGGTTATCTCTATCGTACCATGTTCTTGTATCTCTCAATACATAGACCGCCTCTACTCGACCTCCAGGCAGATGCAATAGAACTTAAATAGGCACTATCTTCACAGCACGTCACACGAATGGGAAATCGATTACAGAGCCCCACAAAAGCAATTTATTCTGATCATCATAGCACTCACAGACCTAGTTCTAGGAGCATTAATTCGTTACCACTCTACTGTAATACTCTGTGGTTTATGAAATTACTGAAGCTGCTTCAGCATGTCACAACCGTATTTCTCCACTCACCAAGTACGGATTCATGTACAGCAATATTGGAAGTGACTCCTCCGTCTTAATCTAGTTAGTTCTTTTTTTAAATACGAAATAAAAATTCATTTATTTATTCATTTTATTTCTTATTTATTAATTATTCCAATATTCATTATTTTTATATTTAGGTCCAAGTTTTTATAGAGTAAGCGATGACAAATTTATGGTATATACTGTATAAAAAAAACTCCTGCAGGCGTCATTGTTTACATTTAAGCAAATGTTTTTGTTTTGCTTTGTCACCGCATAGGTAACGTTCTTGCGATATTCTGAAACACTTCTGAAAATAGCTATTGTCGGTTATATTAACTCAGGGACGAAAATCAAAGGTCAAGTTGGATAATATCTTTTCAGAATATGATAACCGATGTCTTTTTTAAAACCTTTTAATGTTGTTTTATGAATGAAAAAAAAACAGTATATTGCTTTCTTGTAAAATGAACACATTGACCAGCCCATTTATATATCAAAATTATTTATTGTCATATCAAAGTAGAGCATGAAAGGAAGAGCATGAGCCAGAAAATACATTGTATGAGTGCACATTCAACAAACTATTGTGAACACATGCATGCATTAATTGTCAACCTTGACATTACAACCATAATATAAGATTACATCAAATGTTTATAACATCTTTCTACATGGACAATAACAGACAAACAACAATAAGAGTTTTATATGGAGGGATAAACTCATCTACTGGTCTTGAAATTGATTTCATGATATACACACATTATTTCATTAGGGCTTTACGGTTGGTACTCAGAATGAATCTATAATTAAGTTACAATTTCAATCTTTGAATCAAAAGCGAAAAAACGTATGCCATATTTTGTGTAAAACGCAATGTTGTAATATCTTTACAATGCTGTCATTTCAATCAGATGCGTTGGAAGTCTAGTGTAGTGGCTGAGTTGAGGAACGACACGACGGAGATGTGAGAGAGATTCGAAAGTGAAGCGGTAAACGAGATGAAACCATATGTTGTCACAATCTTGCACTGAGTGCAGTGGGGGTACAATACTACCACTCTGTTAGCCGACTATTTCACATCAGCACAAGTTGTCTCCTACATAATCAGAAATTTAGACCTAACTAGAACTGATCCGAAGTAAAGTCTAGAAAAATATATACCGGTGGGTTTTAGGTTTCGCATTTTTTTCCATTTTGAAGGCCGATGGACGGATTAATCTGATAATCCAAACATCACAATTAATGAGCGATGTTTAATTCAAATAGATATTCGCTCAAAGCTGCTATTCCAGTTACGCTATTTCAGATATGCCATATTGATTTTTGAAATTTAAAGTGTATATTATTTCCCTTCGATTGGAGCTGTCCTAAATTTGTCAACTAAGTCATTCGTATAGTCCCGTTTGCTTCCGTGTGATACTTTAGAATATGGTAAGACTCATTTCCTAAATACCAGGTATAAAAAACTACTCAATTTATCATATTGTATCTTTAAACCGGGTGTGGAATGAAAGGCACACTTCTTCAGGCTTACTTCCGAGGAGAGGTGGGCGTCCCCTCAAATACGACGAAATTGCTCTCAGAACAGCTATGGCGTTTCTCTTTCCACGGCTGGTACTCAGCTAACCGAGAAACAAATAAAACAGGGTTGTATGACATTGATCTAACAAAACGGGGTCATATGAGATAGATCTAACAAATCATTGGTTAAATGACATAGATCTAGCAAATATCTAACAACAGTAAAAAAGAAGGCAATGCGTCATATGTTGTAATATGACATAGGATAAAAGGTTTTAACATCTTCGATTATTTTGACAACGCAATTTTATCTGCTATTTTCTCCAACAATTTTCAACTAATTTCAAAATGAAGTTTTTTTAAAGAATCATTTAAAGTTAAAACATATTTTATTAAATCAAATCTTAAAAACAGACCCCATCTTATTTTAAATGAAAATGTTATAACTTTAAAAGGTTCTTTAAAAAAAACTTCAAAAAGAATATCCAGGTGCACAATTCCATACACCTAACTGACCCGAGTGTTTGCCTTACGCGTCTATCACACAAAAATACGGAAAAGCAAAAAAGTACATTTTTCTTTGCAAACTGACCTGATTCAAACCACTGGTAAAACTGGTCCTTGCTGTTCCACTGGTTTATCACTACCAGCCCCGGATTCCACGGGCCTCGCAATTTGGCCGGCTCCGGCGACAGAGCGATAGCAGGGGTGCAGTTCGCCTTCTCCGCCCCGGGGAGAGACCCCTCCACATACTCTTTAAATGACTTGCCGTCGCGGACTTGGACGTCCATGAAGGAGAAAACATTCTTATCTGCAATGGTTAATAGGCATGGTTATAAAAAAAGCGGCTTATCTTATTAATTATTGATCAATAAATGAAAATAAATGTATGGATCACAAGTTCCATCTATGAAAGGTATCAGTTGATGCAAATGTAAGGTTTCTTTTTACTTATTTATATATACAGACTTGACATTTAATATGGAATATTTTTTTCGGAATAATTTTTTATCAGTTTTTTCCTATTTTGCTGACTGATAAATGAAAATAAGGATTAAAATCGTGTTTTAATAACTTTAAATTATCTCTTTGATGTCATTGTGACATCAGTTCATTAATGGAATTCGCCAGAGAAGCAAACAAAAACACGTTGCCTATTCCATGTCATACGACTCCCATTAAAAGAGATATTTTAGATCTCCATATTTTCCAAATTATCGTCTGTAAAAGGGTAATACGCTCCACAAAAGACCCTCATGTCAGTTGCTAGTCACAGTAATGGTCGTTGTTACGCCTGGCCTCTTCGTGGCTGTTGCCAGCGCTCTCAAGCGGCAAGGCATTTCTTGGGGGTAGGTTTTAAGAGGTCAATCTGGAATAGCATTCCAGGCATCGGTCTAAAATTGTCCAATCTGGTCCAGTTTTGTTGTAGGACATGTAGGCAGTTGATTGGTGAGTAATGGTCTACCGAAATATTGTCTATGTGGTTCAAATGTGGCGATTTTGATGACCAGGGTAGCTGCTCATTCCCTTGGTTCTGTAAGTTNATTGAGCCAGTCAGGCTGTTTGATCACTTTGTCACTGGCCAGCCAGCGTTCTGCCAAGTCCTCTGCCGGGAACCACAACATGGCCGGCAGTTTCTGACCGGGCCAGAAATTCTCAACCAGCTCTACCTAAAACAGAAATGATAGCAGACTATCAAAGGTTTGGAAATGCTAAAACACTGCTCTGAAATATTCTCTCAAATCAACCTGTTACCAAAACATATATATACATACATAATAGTATAACACTTCTATGACGGCACTCTGAAGTCAGAGATTACGGGACACAGAAAAATCATACCTCCGAAAAAGAGGTTATACTGTATTTGTCTTAGGGTTTGCCTGTTTGACTGTTCGTTACCAGCCTTATTAAAAAATGGATGGATTTTGATGAAAAATTTCATGATAAGTCAGAAATGAGATAATTTAAAATGATCATATTTTAGAGATGATCCGAATAACCATCTGGACTCGGGGATTTTTAAAGGATTTTTCACCATTGGGAGATAGGGCCAGTTTGGTAATTTTTGCTTACTTTTTAATTATGTAGATTTTTTAATACCAATAATGAGAGTTTAGCTAATAAATTAGTTCATTTAAAATAAATAATCAATGACAAGAAAAACTGAGTGGCCTTAGCGGGAGTGCACTCTCTGAGTGCTTTTTGTAATTTCTGTTAAAATGAAGAGTCATGAAGAGTCATAACTTAAACACAAATGCAAAGCACCAATCATTACGCGGCCAGACAGGCTCGAAACATCCACCACCGTTTTGCTGTAAATACCTCAGTAATTAATCACACAGTATTAAACAAACAATGCGAGCCGGGCTTCAGATACCAGGCCCTGGTTTCACAAAGAAAAATAAATAAATAAAATAAAATAAATAAATGAAGTCAGTTCCCTGGCTTAGTTGACTAGGATTTCCTTTTGACTGCTGTAATACTGTTCCTGATAGGGAAAGATGTGTGCATGTGATCACGTAACGTTGGTAACCAAGTTCTTAGGCAGGGAAATTGACTTAAGTTTTTTTTTTTTCGTTTTGTATGTGTGTGTTTGAAACAGAGGCCATAGATACTTAAACATCGCATTCATTGCACTGCCAGACTGCTATTCAAACTACCAATACCGATAGATTATTCTTGATGGCAATATTTACCTCACTCGCGACACAGGTCAGTCGCCCTCCGTAGTTCTCGAGCACAGATCTGCCGGCTATGATATCGTTGAGGAACCTCTGATATAATGACGACTCATACCGTATGATGAGATAGACGCCCAACTGTGGAGCCTCGTCCTGGAATGAAACCTTTCCAGGTGAGAAAGGAGAGTTGAAGAGGATTAATCAGCACCCAAATTATCAAAAAACCATACATCATATTTTAAAGTCTCTGCACGGTCTATATACATATTAAAACCCAACCAATAATCGTGTTAAACAGATCATGCAACCTGACGTGAAACATTGTACGTGTATCTTGATCATTTGAAGGTATTATATCTAAAAAAAAACGCTTTCTGTTAAAGAAAAACTTTCATATTTTACTGAATTGACGTAAAGAAATAACAATACTGTGCTGTGTTCAGCGGTTGCTGGTGCCTCGTTACTCACCGTACGCTGCTGCTCCGACATACTGTTGATGAGGGGACGTCGTCAATCTGGAATAGGAAACAGGTAATACAATTAACATTCTTCTGCAACAAATTTAAGGATGAAATAAAATAAGAATATCGAAGTTGTTGGATCAGTTATCTACGATGACCAGCAAACTAGACGTCAAAGTCTTTTGGTCTCAGTTGTGCAGTGACCGTTCTGTTTGTGCAAAATTATCTCCGGGGATGATGTTTTATAAATTGCTCCGACGCTATGCTGTGATGATTTTTTTAAATCCCCCTTTTTGCCACTTCAACC